AACTTGAAACTAAAATATATTCACTGATGTTATGACTAATATGTTAAATAATGTAAATATATATATATATATAACAGCACCACCTCCACTGATCTATAATAGAGAACTGCTCATGACTGCTTGGTATTCCCCGCTATTCCCATACATTCCATTGAATTAATAGGAAGTTGTATGAATTTAATGAGAAAACATCACCTAACAAGTCAGCGTTTTTAAATCTGAAGTTTCCCTGTACATTCTTACAATGCAAACACCCTAGGCATGTAAACGGTTATTTGCTTAATGTCGGGAATTTCCCCTGCTTATTAAAAAGTTACGTTCATATACATTGCAGTAGCAATACCTTCGTTGGCCTTGTACAGTTATTCATTGTTTATGCAATTTTGTTAAGAGTGTTTTATTCGTACCATAGGCTAACTGCAAATGTTTCAACAATGATTTCGTTAACAGCATTCATTTTGAAGCAGGTAATGATGTAAACGGTGGTTAAAATAGTTATTCATTTAACATATATACATAACATTTTACATGGTAATGCTAGTAAAACGCCATGTTTGCGTGATCAGAGACTCTGAAACCGATGTTGCTCAATCAGGACATTAAAAATATACACATCATAACTTATTCAGAGGAATAACTGACTGCATACACTATGGGCTTAAAGACATGACGCTTTATTTCCAAGATGATGCATGGTAAGCTTTTCACTTCAGTACAACATAGAGCAATATAGTAACAGAGGCTTGGATCGTATTATTCGTTGTATATTCAAATCCATTTCTGATATGAATACGTTCATGTTTAATAATTCCTGAATAATTATGTACATAAAGAAATAGGTAAATGATCCAGCACAAAATATAGCCAGTGTCATCAGTGCGCAGCAGACACACCACCCTAACGATTTAAATATATCGCTTATTCTGCCCAAAAAGACCATAAACATTGCAGACAACATCTGAAGTAAAAATGAATTTACATACACATAATACACATATTTCTGCTTGAACACAGCTCAGTATATTCACATAGTTGAATACAGCGAGTGTTTTATAATGGATGCTCACATGTTTTGGAGAAGTTTGTGAGGATCAGTGGTGTTTAGGTTTATAGCTTGTTCTGACAGAGGAACTATTCACTGATGACGTCGAGCCAAGTTCAGAATGGTTTAATTTTTCATTTGTTTTTTGGCGTGTTTAGTGATTCTGAATGGAGCCGTATAGTAGTTTATATGCAGGCCTTTGGCATCTCCTTGTGGTATTGTTTGTAGAGCCCTGCACGGGCCTCAAATATAGGCCCTAGCCCGAGACGCTCAGGCCCTGGCCCGGCCCGTGTCCGACAGCTCATCAGAATTCTTGGCCCGAGTCCGACCCAGTCTTTTTTTTCCCCCCTTCTCCCAAAACAGCTTATACTACTGTTTCTGCTATTAAAATAGTAGTTAATTTAGAAAAACGTTTGGAGCATTTTTTTGTTCGTTAAATGTAAGTTTTTGTTTTTTAAAGTACACTCTAAAAAATGCTTGGTTATTTCAACCCAACGTTGGGTCAAATTTGAACTAACCCAACTTTTGGGTTAAAAATGTAATGTAAAAATTTAATCCAACGGTTGGTTTAGTCCATATTTGGCCCAAAGTTGGGTTGAAACAACCCAGCATTTTTTAAGAGTGTAGCGGCCAAGCGGCAGACAGCGAGTTGATCATAGCCTATGTTTGATCAATTTAGCCTTCTCAAATCATCACGACTTGCCTAAAATAAAATCTATAGATATAAAACAGTTCAAGCATATCACAATGTTAGTTTAAATGTTTAACCTATATAAATGTGCGCTATTAGACGCATATCTAATCGTTTGTGTGGAGAGCTATACAGGATGCCGGCGCGATCACTTGCATTGAAATAAATTAAAATATGCCGTCATTTTTACTCATAAAGGTAAGAGTAATACATCACTCGAAACTGTAAAGGGTCTACTTTTATTTGTGTGCACTCAGCAATATCAATAAAACGTTGTGCTTTTATAAAATAAAGGATACATACAGGATGCGCTTTCTGCCATTTCGTCCAGGAGCGCTTCACAATGATGAACCGAAACTCAGCGAATACTTGCCTCACAGACTTGCTAAATACATCTATAGAAAGCTTTAAATTACTACTTTAAAACTAAACAATTCAAATCAAAAGCAAAAATTCTTTGTACGGATTTTATAAAATCTGTAAAGATGCATTTCTCTATAAAGGCGCGTCCAATGAGGAGATGGCGAGTCAGGATCGTCATCTTAATTTTTGCGACACGGACTCAGAAAACACTAATTTATTAATAAATAATTCAAATATCTCCTTACTATTTCCTTACTTACAGAGTCCGACCCGAGCCCGATCTGTGGGAAAAAAAAAAAAAGAGCCTGGCCCGAATGGACTCAACGTGTCGGGACCCGACGGGCTTGCAGACCTCTAATTGTTTGGTATGGCAGGTTGACTTAAAGTTAAAATTACTGTGTAACTGAGCATTACATACTTTTAAGTTGTATAGAATATCTGCAGTGACATTATTGCAACGTATGTTTGCAAAAAAGAAGATGGAATGTTTAAATCTAGCTGGAATTTGTTTTGTTTAAAAAAAATTACATGTAATTGAAAAGTAATAACACTAGAATACAAAGGTTTTAGTGAATAGAAAAGGTTGGGCTTGCAGTATTGATTTGGAGAGGAGGGGGTCTTGGAGTAAAAACTGCTTTAGGTGTTTTATTGTCTTTAGTTAAACTGCTTTGGGTAAATGCAAGCACAGTTCTACGGGGGTACTAATAATTGAACATTATATTGCATTAATTAAATTTAAAATAAAAATGATACATCCCAACAAACTTTTTATTTATTTATTTTATGTGTATTTTATTATTTATTTATTTTTCAGTTGGTAGATCTCGGTGAGTTTCTCATTTGAAAAGTAAATCCCCACACAAAAGTGTGGGCACCCCTGCTCTAAAGCAACTGGGTTGGATGAATTTTCAGCAACACAACACACTATCGCATTTCTAATATTCAAATCCGTTAAAGGATTGTTAGGCTGCATTAATTAGGTCAACCGGAACCGGGAACACTTCCCATAACACCCGATGTACTTGCTACATCGCTAGAAGAATGGCATCTACGCTAATATTAGTCTGTTTCTCTCTTATTCCGAGGTCACCGTTGCCACCAGATCCAGTCTGTATCCAGATCAGATGGTCACTGCAGTCACCCGGATCCAGTACATATTCAGACCAGATGGTGGATCAGCACCTAGAGAGGACCTCTACAGCCCTGAATGTCAGCGGAGATCAGGACAACTAGATGAGCCCCAGATACAGATCCCCTGTAAAGACCTTGTCTCAGACGACCACCGGGACAAGACCACAGGAACCAGATGAGTCCTCTGCACAATCTGACTTTGCTGCAGCCTGAAATTGAACTGCTGGTTTCGTCTGGCCAGAGGAGAACTGGTCCCCGACTGAGCCTGGTTTCTCCCAAGGTTTTTACTCCATTCTGTCACCGATGGAGTTTTGGTTCCTTTGGCTTGCTTAGTTGGGGACACTTAAAAGGTCTTAAAAACATTAAAGACCGTTTGGTTTGTTAGGAGTTCTTTTTGGAGAGCTCTTCTCCAGTTTAGTTTTATTGTTTTGTTGCATGTCATCTGGTTTGTATGAGTTCCTGACGTTTGGTTTCATGGGAAGATCATTTTGCATCTTACAATTATATAGATAAAGGTGACTTGACAAGGTTTTTAAGGGATGGAGCTAGTGTTCTTGCACCTACTCTCACATATATCATCAATCTTTCATTGGAGAAAGGGACAGTACCAGAAGATATGAAGAAAGCAAAAATTATTCCATTATTTAAGAAGGGAAGCAGACAGGATCCAGGAAATTATTGACCAGTTTCTATATCGAGTGTTGTTTCTAAAATAATAGAAAAATTGGTTTTTAAGCAGATTTATGAGTATTTAAGTACAAATAATTAATTTATGACTTTGTCAGGTTTTAGAAAGTCTTATTCAACTTACACTTTATTATATTTGACAGATTTTATTAGGAAAGAGATTGATAGAGGAAATGTGTGTGGAATGGTTCTGCTGGATCTGCAGAAAGCGTTTGATACTGTAAACCATTCAAAATGATTAGACAAAGTAAATGCTTTGGGTTTTTCATGTACAGTAAAATCTTGGTTGGCTTCCTATCTAACTAGGAGAGTGCAGAAGGTAGAAGTGGGAGGGATACTTTCAAAAGGTAAAATTGTGAATAATGGGGTTCCACAGGGTAGCGTACTTGGTCCGCTATTGTTTTTATTATATATAAACGATATTCAGGCTGCATGTGAGGGAAATGTGTTTTTATATACTGATGATGCTGCTCTTTTAGTTGCAGACGAGACTGAACAAATTCGGGAAAAATTAGGTGAGGAGCTTGTTAGAGTGAAGGAATGGCTGACTGAAAATAAGCTTTTATTATATTTAGTAGGGCTGCACGATTCATCGAATGCGATTGTCATGCACACATCTCGTCAGTAAAGCCGGTTCTGTGATTAGTAGTAAATCTCCATCACATGCTTTCAGATGGAGCGGTATTTAATACACAGAGCCGTAGTTCTCTGACAAGCTACGCAATATCGCGTTCAGATTAATCGCCTTCGATTATGAACGTGATATTGCGTAGTTTGTAAATCAGAATCCATTCTTTTTGGGTCAAATTATAAATTGTGTAAGGCAAAGGATTTAGCGGTCTAAGTTGATGGTTATGTCAGAGCAATTAGAACATCGGTCAATTATATTGGCTGTGTTTTGGATAGTAATTTAAGTGGAGTAAATATAGCTTGGAAATTGTTGCGGAAATGTAATGCTAGAATCAAATGCATTGCAAGATATACTAGTTTTTTAGATTCCTTCATTTCACAGTTGCCTATTTTCTGGAGCCATTTAAAAAAAAAAAAACATCTCCAGTTGTCACTTTATAGTAGTGAATCAATTAGAACATCGGTCAATTATATTGGCTGTGTTTTGGATAGTAATTTAAGTGGAGTAAATATAGCTTGGAAATTGTTGCGGAAATGTAATGATAGAATCAAATGCATTGCAAGATATACTAGTTTTTTAGATTCCTTCATTTCACAGTTGCCTATTTTCTGGAGCCATTTAAAAAAAAAAAACATCTCCAGTTGTCACTTTATAGTAGTGAATTAATAACAGGTTTCTATGATCCCACACAGTTTACAGTTGTAAGTACTTTTCATGTGTGAATCAAGGGTTACGTCTGAAACTCTTTTCACACTAATTGCTTCTCTCTAGTGTGAATTCTCATGTGTGACTTAAGATTTCCATTTTGTAAAAAGCTATCCCCACACAGTTTGCAGGTGAAAGCCTTCTCTGTAGTATGAAGTCTCACATGAGTGTAGAGGCTTACTTTACAGCTGAAACTCTCTCCACACTGATGACACACAAAACCCTTCTCTCTTGAATGTTCACTCTCCTCTCCAGTGTGAACTCTCATGCGGGACTTGAGGCTTTCTTTATATTTGTAGCTCCTTCCACACTGATCACATGTGCATGGCTTCCCTGAATGAATGGTTATGTGTTGATTAAAGGTTCCTTTTGTATCGAAACTCTTTCCGCAGTGTTGGCATGCGAACGGCTTCTCTCCGGTGTGAACTCTCATGTGTTGTTTAAGGTTTGCTTTTTTAGCGAAACACTTTCCACACTGATCACAAGTGAACGGCTTCTCTCCAGTGTGAACTCTCATGTGGGAACTAAGAGTTTCTTTATATCTGAAACTCTTTCCACACTGATCACATGTGAACGGTTTCCCTCCAGTGTGAATGGTTATATGTTTATTAAGATTTCCTTTTTTAGTGAAACACTTTCCACACTGATCACATATGAACGGCTTCTCTCCAGTGTGAATGATTACATGTTCATTAAGGCTTCCTTTTAGTGTGAAACTCTTTCCACAGTGCTGGCATGTGAATGGCTTCTCTCTAGTGTGAATTTTCATGTGTTCATTAAGGTTTACTTTTAATGTGAAACACTTTCCACATTCATGGCAAGTCAAGTAACTGGGAGATTTGGTCTTCTGAACTGAATTTGTTTCAGTCGGTATGGATTTTTCTACAACAAAGAAATTATGTCTCTCATTTTCAGCTTTCTCTTCTGTTTCTTTCAGTTCTTGACTCTCTTCTTTTATTGCCATCAGGTCTAAAGTGAAAAAATGACAAATAGAAGTTAATGGGAGTTTAATGGCTCAAAGCAACAGAAAGCAAAACCAAGATAAAAGTATTAAAACATCAAAACTAACATTATGCAACAAAACTGGGTTATTATAGACCAATCCTGAATCTGCCATTCAGGCTTAAAAAATTTGAAAAAGAGAGTTAATGATTTATTGAAGTGTAGGGGATGTACAGTTAAGACCCAAGGACCACAAATGTTGAACTAAGACCAGGAGTCAGAGATGCAATTAACCGAAGAAAAATAGTAAATAGTTTGCGGTTTCATCAGCAGAAGTCACTCGCAAGGAGTTCATAGGCCACTTTGCTATATAGGCTGTTTTACCGAACATATACGCTTACTACATTTATGGACCTGGGAACATTACAGTTGTGTTGCTGTCTATGGGAGGGTCTGAGAGCTGTCAGATTTAATCAAATATCTTAATTTGTGTTCCGATGATGAACGAAGGTCTCACGGGTTTGGAACGACATGAGGGTGAGTAATTAATGACAGAATTTTCATTTAAAGGTACAGTGCTAAACATGCTGCCGACTGTCATTAAAGGGATAGTTCACCCTAAAATTAAATTTAGTTTATTATTCACTCACATGTTGTGCCAAACCTGCATTCATTTCTTTCTTGTGCTGAACACAAAAGAAGATATTTTGAAGAATGTGGGTAACCAGACAGTCACTGGTCCACATTGACTATGATAGCAGGAAAAATTACTGTGGTTAAAATTGCTTATTTCTCTGGATTTAAACATTCTTCGAAACATTTGGGATAATGTAAATACACAAGTCAGCAAAATATATAACACTGTTCTAGTGGTTTTTGGATATTTTAATAAAAAAATCTTACATATTGTGCCTTTAATCAAATATCTTAATTTGTGTTCCGATGATGAACGAAGGTCTCACGGGTTTGGAACGACATGAGGGTGAGTAATTAATGACAGAATTTTCATTTAAAGGTACAGTGCTAAACATGCTGCCGACTGTCATTAAAGGGATAGTTCACCCTAAAATTAAATTTAGTTTATTATTCACTCACATGTTGTGCCAAACCTGCATTCATTTCTTTCTTGAGCTGAACACAAAAGAAGATATTTTGAAGAATGTGGGTAACCAGACAGTCACTGGTCCACATTGACTATGATAGCAGGAAAAATTACTGTGGAAGTCACTGGGGA